ACCGTCCCGCCGGCACGGCGCCGGCCGCAGCTCTGAGGGCAGCGGGGCCGCCGCCGCTGAGGTAAATCCACCCCCGTTCCCTTCCCGGGCCACCTTCCCCTCACGGAGCCGGTTCCCCTCAGGGCGCCCGCCCGCCTGGGGCCTTCCCTGCGCTCCCCCTGGCCCTCGCGGTGGCCCGGCCCCGCGGGGAGAGCCCCCGGTGAAGCCCCGGCGAAGGACGAGCGGGGAAGGTTAGCGGGGGTCAGCCTCCGCTCCGGGGGCAGGTGGGGCTGAGGGCTGGGCGCCCCGCCGGTCTCCGTCCCTGCCGGTTCTCGGTGGGGCCTTTCTAGGTTTTGGCTCTGCTCCTGCTTCTTAAAAAAAAAAAATAAATAAAAATCATCTGTCAGCAGCCATGGAAACAAGCGCATGGAAGCGTCCCTGTGCCCCGGCACGGTTGTGTTGTAGGGTCTCAGCTGCCGCCGTGGGAAGCGGAAAGGGAGCAGCGACCATTTGACACGCCGCGCTTTTCAGCGATGTCCTAGCACTTGCTCTGGGGAGCTTTGCCGATTGATGTGGTGCCAGTTTGCCTTATTTCCAGGAGGGAAGAACAGCGCTTACGGGAAGTGGGAATGCAAATAGTTCACACTCTGAAAAATGAGAGGGTCGATCGGTACGGCACTGCGCGTATGTGATCGCTGCCGTCAAAAAAGAGTCGGGAAATCATTGGCTATTTTCTATACTACATATAGAGTTGTATAATGGTATCAGGATGCCGAATTACCGTGATGTAGCTGTTCGCTTTGCTGAAGACATAATTAGGTTGAAGTCACTGTGACTGTTCACATTAACAGACTTAAATTAGGTCTTTTGAAGTGGATGCTCTCTGACTTTGAAAATTTACAGATAAAGCAGAGCCGTACTGATTCATTAGTAGATGAAACTGATGTAAAATTTTAGCGGTTTTAGATTCGCGTTAAATAACTGAAGGCTCTTTGTGGCTGAAAGAAATTGTTAATACTTTTCATCTCTCTAAAACTTACTTGGTTTTGCTCTAAAGCAGTATATTTTGTATTGTATATATCTGATGGATTTCTTTTTTATGCCTTTTATGAAGGCAGAACTTTTAAGGGAAGTAAACTGATAGAATTCTGTAGCAGTCAAAAGGCTGGAGATGGAGAATGTAGAGGAAATGTGAGGCTTTGTATGTGTCTGATGTGGGGAACCATTGAAACAAAGACTTTAACACTCCTTTAATCGATATTGAAAATGGCTAGTGAAAATAGCTCAGCCTTGATCTACACCATTACTTTTTGGAACCTGGAAGGAAGAATCACATGTGGATATGGGTATAATAACTGATGGAAAAAATGTGCTTACCAGCCGGATATCACAGTGCAATCAGTAAATGTGATACCCAAGCTATCTTCAATTGAATGTGGGGATATAACATATATTGATGAATGCAAAAATTAGAATTAAAAAAATATACTCTGAAGTAGAATGTGATTCATACAATTGCTGTTGGCAGAGGAGTAAAACTTTTACTTTCCACACAACAATACCAATATTGGTTTAAGCATGTACCTTTCTGGAATCTAATCTAAATTTGAGTTTGTGGCCCTATTCCAAAAGGGGTAAGATACAAAGCCCAGCCATAGATTGTGTTCACGTCCTTCCCTGAAGTCAAGGTTGTTCTTTAATCCAGAAGTGCTCTGTCCTTGCTGTTGTAGCTCAGTGAACTCTTCGTGTATCGGGTAGTGTGTGTCTTTGCTGGGCACCAAAGTCTCATGAAATATGTTTTGTTTGACTTCCACATCTGTGGGCGAAAAGATTGGTTATCGAAAAGATATCTTGCTGAACATCTCGGATGTTATTTTTGTGCTTATGGAAAAGTGACTTGGTATCACAAATGTATTTGGTTTATTGCTGTTAGCAAAACTCGTTAATACTACTTATAAATATGTGTTCTGTAGACATGCATAGGTTTTTTTCTTTCATTTTGCATAACTTGTTTTACCCCGAATTCTTATTGCTCGTTTTTGAGGATGTTTATAAAGATGCTACCGGCATAAAGACACAAGTAATTAGATGACCAGCTTCCCAGTAAGACATCTATACTTATGCTTAAGTATTTCTTCTATATACCATTTTTCTGATATTATTTAGAAGAAGTATATTCCCTTTTCAGAGCTGAAAAGAAACAATTCCAGTGTCTTTCTATGGCCTGGCACTTGCTGTTTAGTAAGAGACGGGGATAAGGGGAACCATTACAATAGCTTAAAACTTGATTGTGTTAAATATGTACTTATGAAGACTGTCTCTTGAATTTGTTGTCAGGTGTTTGTATGTAAAAAGCATCACGTTAGTTACGTGTTTCCAGTGTAAAGTGTCACTGTGTGCCTGCAGTAGAGCAGATACGGGTCAGTACACAGAAGGGCTACAAGGCATAAACAGGAAATTCATGAGATAAATATGGTACAAAATATATTAAGTTAGAGCAAAAGCAACAAGGCTTTAGAGAGATGATGAGCTGTGTCACTGAGGGTATGGGGTAGATTTGGGGATAAGTTAATAATAACGCTTTGGGGTGGTATCATGGGTTGCCATCACAAGCTATTTCAGCTGCTCTTTTCCAGAGTTGTGTGCACCGTGTTACATATGTCCCAGGTTGTGACTACAAAGAGATATGCCCGATTTCAACAGAGAGCAAAAGTTGAGTCTGTCAGGGCTAAATTGGGATTGCAGTTGATGGACTGGTTCTTCTGAATACGTGCTACTCTGGCAGTTCTTACACGTGTTATGGTTGCTGAGAAAGTTCAGCCTTGATGCCCTAGTAGCTGGCAGAATTTCCTTGTACAGAGCTAGGCTCTGTAAAACAGAAATTTTGAAATAAAAGCATTCTCTTTACTGTGTTGTAATTGAAATATGGGGAATCTTAGGAACTGTCCATTGTATAGCTTGAAGGAAAAAGCAACCAAAAGAAATTTAGGCTTTGAAAATGGATGGATTTTTAGCCTGCATATAAATTCTTATCTGTATATCTGTTTAAAAAAAAATAAAGAAAAAATTAGATTTTTTTTTCCTACAACGATGTTTTTCTTTTCTTCCTAAAAAAATAGCAGGGAAAAGGACTGTGCTTAACCCTGAAGTGCCCTTTTTTTTTATTTAATTCACAGTGCAGGGGCCTCATTATACAATAGTTGTATTGTATCATTCATCTTCCTAATGCCCTAGGTAACCTTCTTCCAGTAAACTTAGAGAAGGGAGATTTGCTGTTGCAGTGGATCTTCTTTAGTCCCATTAGAAAACTACAAACATCTTTGGGACAGTCATTTTATAAGACCATCTTTCCAGTGATCATGAGTTTGTAATGTAAATTCTTCAAAAGTTTTTTTTTTATTCCAATAATATATCTGCATTTTGGGCCTACGTTTCATTAACAATGAGGTGCAGGTCAGATGAGACGCTCTCAAGCTGAGGATTTCAAATAACACCTAAGACTAGAATGGCATCGGATTAGGTTTAATATAATCACCGGTGTAAACAGATGACATTTTGCATGAAACACTGAATAATTTAGTTTTATCTTCCAATGCTAGATAAAAATTTTTAAACGGTCAAATTAAAAACTGCTGCTTGGCATAGTAGAGATGAAAGCATCATGCTTTGTCCTGGAAGCTTGTGCTTTAAGTATACAACAAAGACTCAGTGTAAATTTGGTTAGGACTGGCATTGAAGCAAATAAATTAATAGTCTAGAGGAAAGCTGTGAGCATCTCCGTGGGGATGCTTAGGTCTTCATGAAGTCTAAGTGCTTTTCAAACATTGATCCTCTTCCCCTTGAAGGGGACCGAGGTGGGGGATAATGGTGTAGGCAGCTGGAGAGCAGAACAACATACAGGAGCAGGGGAGATGGAAGGGGAGGGAGAAATCACATGAGAATGACTAAATCTATTATTTGCGCCAAAGCTGAGCTGTGGTGGCACTTCCACGTAAACCAATAACTGAGGAGGCTACAATAAACCCTGAAATTTTGCACAGAATTGAATTTAGGATTAGAGAACTGACTGAACAAATCATGTCCCTGTCTTGTCAATGAATTCTCTGTTGACAATTTCAAGTGATTACTCTGACTTTCATGTTTCACCTGCAGAGGCTTAGCATGTCTTCTTCTATTGCTTGTTATCTTCGGCTCAGAGAATGGGTGGGTGTCATTGCAAATTAATGTGATACACTCAACCTGTCGTCTTCCTGTGTGTTTCTGCTTAGCTTCCACAAAATGCCATGTCAATGACAACTTAATGATTGTGGATTTCACAATATTGTGAAAACTTGTTTAACAAAAGTATAAAAGCTTATTTATAAAGCAAAACAGAAAGCAATCAGTAGCTTCATGCAGTTATGTGTGCTTAATAAGCGTTTGCATTACCTGTTAGGCTTGCAATAGAATATATGAGTTTGAATAAGACAAGAGGCTTCCTGTTTTCAGAGGAAGTCTGCATTGGTATCATTCCCCTTGAACTGGGAAAATTTGCAAATGTATACTGAAGAACTCCATGAGTGATGTTGTATTTGGAATAGTTTTTGGTAACAAGCTAGTTTCAGAAGCTTTCCTTTAGAAGTAAGTTGCTTCATATTTTCTATAGCTGTTAAATGTCAGAATCCTTACATTACTCTCAAAATATATTAA